GCGCTCGCGGTGGCACCTAGACTTCAAAGCCATGCATTTGTGCGATCTTGGGCGATGTCTGGAAAGGAAAATGGCGCTGGAATGCGTCTTCAGACGAGTCAGAATCTGGCTCGGCCGGACCAGAGTCTTCACTGGGACTCTCTGGTCTTGAGGGTCACTTGCCGTGAAGAGTACGAGGTTGGGAGGACACTGACATCTAGGAGCAAGGCCCTTGTCGCCTTCCGCGAGATGGTCACAGTATCTTATGGAGGTAGATCCGATGATAACAGCGCATGGAGACGGGGTGTCATCCGCGGATTTGATGCAATGGATAAATATTTTGCGGAACCGATGAACACATCAATGGATCACGAGACGGACCATGCGTCTTAAGGAACACCACTAATCTCGTAATAGAGGTAGTTCCGCTGAAACATGATGGGCATGTTGTAGCCCTCGACGACGAGCTTAACAGGGGAGGGATTGTTGGCCGCTACTTACTACACCCAGCAGTCAAGTGCTAGTAGGCCAGCTGCTATCGGGCTTGTCAAAAGATCCAACAATCCAACTGAGAGTCTCGTCACTGAACAACAGGTTGCCACTCCAATATACGGATTACCAAATGTACCGGAAGCCCTTGATGTCAATGTAGCAGTGCAGCTTTTCACACTCAGGAGATTATAAGGTCCTCAAGTTGGGACTAGTGGAGTGTTAGATGGTCATGATATGGCGCAGAAAGCCGCCCCAGGGGGGACTCGGAGATCCTTATGGGATTAGGGTTTGCCCCATTCGAAGTTGTTATAGCGACACAACTTAGGTCTCTTTTCGCCAGTCACCGTGTAGTCCTCGCAACAAACCCAAAGCCCACTATGGACTATGAATCAATGGCGCCGTATATTCTTCCCATCCATGGCGGCTTCGTCTGAATTGAGGGCTCCATGGAGGCAGCCATGCCCATCCAGGCGTAAAAAGATTCGGGCAGAGTCGGCAAAGAACGCCACCAGCCCAGGATACTTAGCGATATCAATATCGTCGGCAATGATGTTGCCTCGGATTAGGTGATCTAAATGGACTCACCTAAAGCTCTTGTCCCACGGCGTGGTTTGGGTGTCTTATTTTTCTTCAGTTCACGGCAAGGCGCGGTGAGATGTCGTTCAGCGCCGTCATGATGAAACAACGGTTTTTCGGAAACGCACTTGGCACCATCGCCTAGTGTCCCCTCATAGCTATAGGACTCGCCAGTTTTGAATGCACGTAGTTGATATCGACTCCTCGTGAAGTCTCTTGATCATAGTGCTCTATTCTTCCTGTCGGGAAGCGGGCGCGTGTGGCTGTTCTGTCCCATGTGCACTTTAGTCTGTTCGGTCGCTGTATTAGTATATATGGGCCGGAAGGTCATGGAGGCATATCGAAAAGTTGAAGGTCTTGTCATTCTAATGGTCGAGCGAGAAAGTACGATATTAAAGACAGAAGGAAAATCTAAACAGAGCTAAACCCAATTAGGAAAGAGGGGCTAGTTGACTTTTAGTGCGGCAAATGGCTCCAATCGCTGAACCTTCCCATCGACCGAGCGGTCTCGGTAGAGTTGCCGTATTGGATCCTCGGCAGGAGGACCCTCCGGCTGACACACCCCCTCAGCGCTTGGAGGCTTGCCAGATTAGATAGAAATGAGGCGGGAGATGTCGACTATATTCAGCATCTTAATGAATTCTTGGTGGAGAGGTTTAACTAGAGCTTTGGTAAGCCCGTCAGCTGGCATACTGCGTGTGGGCACCCAAGTGACGTTGAGGCGCTTGTTTTAAACCTCTTGGCGAAGCCATGAGTGGTGTACGTCAACGTGGCGGAGCTTTGTATGAAGCATCTTGGTGTCCTTGCTTAATAGATTGACCGTAGAGCTATTATCGCAATATATCTCGAGCTCCTCGTCTGGGTTGAAATTGATATTAGTGAATATCCTCCTCCACTAATACAGGGATTTAGTGGCTTCGATCATCGATATATATTCTGCTTTAGTGGTGGATAAGGAGACGACGCGTTGTTTCCAGGAATGCTAGTTGATTAGACCTCCGTATAATAAGCAGAGGAAGCCTCCGGTGCTCTTTCAATCGTGAGCGTCGGCGAAGGCGGCATCTGTGGTAGTAATGAAGACTTTTTTATCTATAGAGGATCGACCGTATTCTAGAGCAAGGAACTATGTGTTATATAGGTAAGTAATGACCTGGTTAGCTACTGCCAGGTGAGCGGTGGAAGGATTAACCAGGAACCGTGATAGTACGCTGTGTGCGTAAGCTACGTCAGGCCTGGTGCAGGTGGCGGCGTAGCTAATTGAGCTGACTTTCGACTAATATTCATGTATTTGGCTGGGAGATGCTATTTCCTCATTAGGAACTAGCTTCTAAAGTGGTAATAGCACTAAAGGCTATCAGGTAAGGTCATTGAGGTGGTATCTAGTGGTGATAGCTTTAATATATAAATCCTGGGATAGCCAGATCTTTCGCTGTGTTTGATCACGAGTGACGCGCATCTTAAGGAACTAGTTTAGCTCCTCTATATCCTTTAGTTCGTATTGCTTCTTGATTGCTATAGTAAATCTAGCTGCAGCGGCGCGACCTGCGTGTGTTAGGATGTTGACTATAAGGATATCGTTAACATAGATGAGGACTAACATAAATTAGTTAGTAAAGAGGCATTCTTCGTCCAGGATAGGTTGTAAGCCATGAGCTTTAATTATTACTAATAGATCTTCCTGCCAGAGTCTTGGAGACTTGCGCAGGCTATATAGAGCTCTAAGTAGCTTCTATATCTTTCCTGGGATGCCGTGACCAGGTGGCATCCGCGTATATACCGATTCGTATAGCGCGGCGTTGAGGAAGGCATTGATAGCGTCTCATTGCCTTAAATCCATGTTATACATTGCCATTAGAATAGTAATTATTCGTAGAACCCTTACTGAGGTGGTTATAGCTCTATTTTCTTTTTCACTGCGTGGTTATAGATCGCCACGTACAACTAGGCGTGCTTTAGCCTTGGTAAAGTAACCATCCTTGTCAAATTTATATGTAAACACCCACATAAGCGGTAGAATAAGACGTCCCTTTGCTGTAGCCTCTGCTTCGTTAATAATAATATATGAGTCTTTTCGCTTAATGTCGGCGAGCTCCTTCTAAATAGCCACTAGGAAGTCCTGTCCTAGTATATGCTTCTGTGCTTTGGACCAGTTTCGTGGCTCTGGCGGCATCTGGGTCTGATGCAGTCGTTGATTAGTGGTTTCAACTACGTTGATCTGCGGATTATCGATATATAGCAACTAGAAATAGTCATTAGTGGATTCAACGTAGTAAGCAGCATAATTAGGATTATTTTTACGAGCTCTGGCTCGCCTTCCTGTGACGATATTTGCTTCTGAAACTTCTGAGCCAGGCCATCATGGTTGGTGGGATCGTGCTGTATTGTTATCTTCACCCCCTGAGCTAGAGGTCGTTGGATTAAGACGTGCGGATCGTTACGGGGGCACTGTAGCTTGCTAGAGCGATTCCTGAAGCATCTAGCTTGGTGAGTCGGGATCCGAGCGAGGCGACGGCGAGGTTAATTATTAATTATTATAAAAACCCTGTACAGGGGCTCGTACGTTGCCTTGAGGGGTTAGATAGTTTAGATCATCATCTAGAAAGGCACCAGGAGCGGTAGAACGTGTAGAAACGCTAGGAGCTAGAGTTAGTGTAGTTTCTAGAGTAGGAAGGAAGGGGGGGGGTTAATGGCGTGGATGGCGCGGAATAATATTATTCCCTGCTTTCTATAACCTTACTTTCACTTTTATTAGTTAAAGTATTGACGTTAAGTGCTTCGTTTAAGGAGGCCTGTTGCACCCCCTAAGCCTTAACTGGATCTAGTGAGGTTAAATCGACGTTTAAGCTGGTGATAGGTAGCTCGTTTAAAGCGTCCTGAATAGCAAATGACGGCACGACTTGTATGGTCGTGGTTAGTAGCTTGACCATGAAGAAATCAGTTAGTAAAGGTTGGAGAGGATTATAACGTAACTTCTCTTAGAATATTATGTCCCTAGCGCGCACGACCTTCCTCTAAGCCAGTAGCTAGATATCCTATATGTCGGAGGCCTGGTAGGCCACTAAGAAGCCTAGTTGTGCGCGTGGTTCGAATTTCATCTTCCTTGGAAGCTCTGGTAGAGTTCGAACGTATACAGCGGAACCCATGGTGTATATGTTGGAAATAATTGGCTTATGACTAGTAAGCGCTTCATACGGGGTCTTCTAACCAAGACGACGTGCTAGGGTTCGATTAAGCTGGTATATAGCTGCCTTGACTAACCAGGGCCAAAGCTCGTGGGGTAATGCCGCGGCAATTTGGATCTTTTGGGTTCTGGCGATAATGACACCACTAGATTGTTCTGAGTAGCCGTTCTATTCTGGTGTATATTGTACGCTGGTGTGGTGGATGATGCCTTTAGCTCTAATAAGCGCTATCTAATCTTTTCCAAAGGATCGCTTATTATTAGAGAAGAAGGTCTTGACCTTTCTATTCCACTGTCAGTTGATTAGGCGAAGGAAATCCTTGATTCTAGCTAGGTATTCATTCTTCTGATGATGTGTATACGCGAAGTGCATGCAGGTGTATTCATTATAGAGGTGTGTGACCCATTGGTGACTATTAAGCCCTGGATCGACCTGTATTAGATTAATGTGGACCCTGTCGAATGGTTTGCTAGAATGGTGAGCATCTCGTCGAGATATCTGTCGATTTGTAATAGCTAGGCGGCATGCCTCGTAGTGGTGTTCGTTGAATAAGTCGCGTTTAATGATATTAGTCATTTATATCCCCTCGACCGTGGTAGGGAGCTTCTCGAGAGCTTCATAACTAATGTGACCGTAACGATCGTGCCAGAGTTGCATACTGCCTGGTAGAACGGGCGATCGTTTAGATGGCAGCGGCTTGGGAGGTTATTTTAACTGCTTTAATGCTGGTAGAGCGGAGCTAATTGCTCTAGGGCGGTTCGTCTTGATATACTAGAGACGATCATGGTATGTAAGGTTATAGAAGATATCCCTATTGCGTCTTACCACATTAAGCTCTGTATCTGGAAACAGGCCGGCTTCGCGCATCGCGCCGGCGGAGACGATATTAGTGTGAAAGCCAGGGATATAACGTACTTCCCGGATCAGTATCTCCTTCCTAATTGGGCTAGCGCCGGCTAATGTCGGCCGGAGCGTGATCGTGCTAATGCCTCGTACGTCGGCGCCAGTGATCCCTGCCTTGATGTATTTAACGTGGTTCTCGTCAAGTTGGTCGAACCAGTCGCGGTTGTTGTAGACGCTTATTTGACTGCTAGTGTTGATGATGAACGAATCTTCCTTTCTAAAGGTTTTTAATGTTGAGCTGGTGAAGTTGGCCATGACGCTTATAGCGACCCTATTATTACTGAATGGCCTGTCGTCATTATTCTCTAATAATCGCTTGATATATTGTCCTTGTTTTGAATCCTTCTAGGATTCCTTCATGATCTTCCTTATTATCTCTAGGTCAGGTATAAAATCTGGGGTTCTCAGGTGCTTGAATAGATATGGGTAGTCCCTATATCGATGATTCCTTCCGCAGACGCAGGGTGGAAAGGTTATAGACCCCTGAGGTGTATAGCCCTGAGGACGAGGCTAAGCTTAGGGCTATTGTCATTGACCCTTCTGATTATCTGATTGGCCCTTGAAGGTCCCGAATATGGTGTTGTGGCTTTTAACGTCGGTCTACGTGGTTAAATATTGACGGAAATTACTCGCTAGGAGTTGTAGATCAGGTTGGTAGTCATCCTTCATGATATCTTCAAGGTAATGATTAGTAAATTGAGTAGAATGTTCTTTTATCTACCTTAGGAAGGTCCTTTCTATATTCTATTTATTATAGCTGTCTCCATGTACCTTCTTAAGCTCTGCTGCCGCTATTTTATATTCCGTGACCTATTTATTTATTAGTCCTGCGTCGACCTTGCTATCTCTAGCGTTGTTAAAGTGATTAATGGCGTGTATCTTGAGCTCTCGAGCTGATAGAGTGAACTTTGTATATAGTTCTCAAAGGGCTTTATATAGGTTGATAGAATAGAGGTTATAGATCTCCTTGACCGTATAGCTCACTATCGAGGTAATAAGCTCGTGTATAATCCCACAGCCTTACTAGTAACGTCTATATTCCTACATCTTCTTGTTATAACGTCTTGCTTGATGGTTGTACATTAATAGAGTCTCTTTAGAGGTTGGCTTAGCTAGAGGCTCTGGCTTCGTTGGTTCTACTGGCTTAGTGGCTAGAGTTGGATTAATATATTCCCATATTCCTGCGCGCAGCGCGGTAGTTTGAATAGATGCATACTAGAGCCGCCAGTCATTCTTGCTAGCTAGAATAACCAAGACCTTGACGGCCTTGGTGTTATTGTCCTCCATTCTTCGCGTGTAGAGTGGTCGGTTCGTTTAGGGGAAGTCGCTGTATTTAGCGAGGGTCGGAATAGCTTCACGATTACTATATCCATCAGGATGGCCGGAGGGTGGTTGTAGGACGTAGAGAAGAATATTCCTAGCAACCCGGGCTCATAACTATGGGCCGGAAGGTCATAGAGGCATATTAAAAAGTTGAAGGTCTTGTCATTCTAATGGTCGAGCGAGAAAGTACGATATTAAAGACAGAAGGAAAATCTAAACAGAGCTAAACCCAATTAGGAAAGAGGGGCTAGTTGACTTTTAGTGCGGCAAATGGCTCCAATCGCTGAACCTTCCCATCGACCGAGCGGTCTCGGTAGAGTTGCCGTATTGGATCCTCGGCAGGAGGACCCTCCGGCTGACAGTATAGAATCAGGCGGCGGCCCAGATAGAAACCATGACATGTACAGCTTGTGCGTGGGCTTGAAGAGATTCTGATTATCCCCAGCTATCATGGTCACGTCTCCGGAACTTTGATGCGGATTGGGAGCGTGTGGCCGCAACAGCCCCAGATCTAGTGAAAACACAGGTACCGCGACGCTGGCCGGAAATTCATGCGGAATCCGAGTTTCTTTCCATCCAACTCTCTCCACGTCATGGCTGTCGCATCAGTTTCCCAAAGAACTTAGTGGCCATCATGCCGTGGAAACAAGCTGGAGGGTTAGTATTGATGGAGCTGATTTGCTCCTTCCTTCCATGTGTTTTTGTCGTGCTGTTTGCCAATTCGCTTGCACGGGGTGATGAGGAAGTAGCGGCGCCTTCTGTTAAGAAAGCGCTGCTTTGTATAAAAGTCTAAATGGCCTTTTTGCCCCCAAACCCCGGTGTGGTGGTCCTGGGGTGTGGTGGCATAACCCTCAACTATTAAATACCCAGTTAAGGATGCCATTCCACACCCCATTAACCTCCCCTTCTGGTTTGGTCTTGGGGGGCCCTGTGATTAGGTCTTGGATTGCCAAGGCAATTCCGGGGACGTCCATGTACTAATCCATTATCAACATTACATATACGGAGCTCGTTTGTGAGGCTGGTGTAAAATGGGTTGAGATTGATAAGTAGTTAGGGACGTGACGTGGGGAGGGGGAGGCCAGGCAGCCAGCCGGCCACCTGGCTGGGCGCGAAGTGCTCCAGGCCGGTTGAGGGGGGCCACGCGAGAAGGCAACTTGAAAGCGCGCGGCATGTGAGAGCATAGCCACCTGCCATCAGGGCGTGCTTGACACCGGCCGGACGGCCGAAAGGTTCTGTAAGTGGAGGCAACGAGCCTTGCGGGCCTTGTCTCGCGAAACCAACAATAGGGGTGGATCTACTCTGTTTGTGTCTGCCAGGCTGGTGGTGATTATCTGAACGAAGCCCTCCACGAGAATCAGTGTCGGTTCCAAGAGATCATGCTGCCGCATTTGCCGTCCCGTGTTGGTCTGTGGTGCGAGGGGTATTATCTAGAGTCTTTGCCCAAACCCGCTATTGACATAACCATGGTTCGCTGGGGAGCGTTCAAGACGCCTCGGGTTCTAATGTCCTCCACATCATCAAAAGTGGCGTTGTCCGAGACTAGCTGTTTGGCGTTGTCGAAAGTCACCTTTCCCCCGACTCGAGAGCCCACCATCTCTCGCGGGTCGACAGGGTCTGAACTCCTGTCTAAGAAGGTAAGCCAGGGACGGCGACAGGTGCGTTCTGCGAGCATGGAATGAACCAATTTAACAAACAGCGCGGTGGCCCAGTTCTTGGCTGTCACAGGCGCCGGAGGCGCCCTGTCCCATACCGCCCGAGGAGTGACTCCTCCCAGTCCGAGGAGGCGAAGGCGAACGCGCAAGCTCCGTAGTCTATCTGTGTGATGGAACAGGCGACACGGAAATGTGTTGCATACCCTCACTTCAAATGCGCCAATGTCAAATTCGCCTCAAGCCAGATCCCACGAAGAGACCATATTGTTGGCTGGAATTCCTGTTACAAGTCTCGATCGAGAACACAGGAGCCAACAAGGGTGTGGTTCCCTTCATTCATCGTCTGGATTCTAGCATGGTTTATCACCGCCTGGCTCCCCACTTGTCAGGGTGGTCTATCTTCCCTTGGAGCGCACCAGTATCTGGCGAAGGGCTTCCATGTGGGTTATTGCTGCCCACAACCACGACAAAGAGCCATCATGATCCTGATGGCCCTCTCGCGACAAGCATCTAGGTGAGCAGTCGGCTTGCTCCACAGTCGATTCGAAGAGCATTTTGTTTCAAACCATGTGTTTGGTTGGGACACAACTCCCTCCCAAAACGACATCAGACGACGAGTGTCCCTAATTTTGCTAAAACGGGAGCAGATCTTCGGTTCCCGTTCGAGAATTCGAGAGACGTCCTGGTGGAGCATCAAGGTTAGTGGAGGCTTTAGAAGATTGGAAATCAGCACGGCTGTCCCTGATTAACGGGTGGCACGGCACCGCTTAACGCATCCTGAAAGGACATGGTCGCAGCTACCCTAAGCAATGCCATGGTCATCCGATAGCGACCGCGGAAAATAAGGGGGCATCATTATCTGCAGGGGCGCAGACCAGGGAATGGAGGTTCTCGTCGTCGCTGGCATGGAGACTGCGATGACATTGGCAGCTACTCGCCGCCCATGCCACCGCATCAGCGACAATATCTCGACTCTGGGGCATGTTTGTCTATAGGATAAGCGGGACGAAACCACAGATAATGGATTGTGGACTCCCTAGTCACAAGATACAGATGGCCGACGATAGCTAGTCATCTCGCGGGATATGCAACAAAGATTGCTGGCTGATTGCAGCCCATCATCAGATGAGGAGGTACGCGCTGGGCGGCTTCGTGTGGAGAAGTTTCCGAGGAGGGTCGTCATGGATAGACAAAGAGGGTTCGACTAGAGGAAAGGCGAGCTCCAAGCAGGGTCCGGGGCGGATGAAGTTCCTGGTTGAGAGATGGTCTAGAGTCGTACTCCACCAGTGTCATTGACCAACATATGTGCTGTCTGGCATAAAAGAACAGGACGCCAGAAAGTGGGATGGAAAGGAATGTTTGAGAATGAGGGAGCCTAAGGGGAGGGGAGGTCATTAAGTAGAAGAGCAAAAGCCTTGAAGAAGTGACTTCCCTAGTTCCTGTGAACTGTTCTTGTCCATTCACCTCCCTGGTTGGTGCGATAGCAACAAGTGTCTTCACCATGGGCCACAGGTATCCATGTCCTAAAGTTCACCAGTCAGGATCTCCGCGAAGCTGACCCTGATTGAACAACATTAGTCTAATTGTCTGTAGGCCCGTCTCCCTCCACGTCCCCTGCTGGAGCCCAAGTTACAGGTCCCCTGATGCCGTGATAAATGCCCTGGCACGTTGAGATAATACAGTGCAGTTTCGGGTAACTAAGACGTCCGCTTCCTTTGGTAGTCTTCGCAGCCTCATAAGCGGACAACTGACAGCAGGAACTGCTGGCTGATGCTTACACCAGCACGCAAACATAGCAGAGTCAGCGAAGCTGACGCTGGAGCCCTGATGTCGATGGGACTCGTGAAGAGCCGCTCAGCGCTCCCTGTTTTGCTAGTGGTCACCTTCAGTGCCTTTAGTGGGAGCTGTCTGGGAGCAAATTCATATCTCTGGCTATCTCATGCCGTCAGCTCCAGAAGTGAAGTGGCACGGTTCCACCCAAGGACATGCAAGTCGTTTACCTGGCACTTAGTACATGCTTCACCAGATGCCTGAGCGTTTTCGATTAACCCAACAAAGCTCGGATCAGTCAGTGGGTTCACCGGATCTGGGTAATGCCCATGGGAGGTATTCTAGATCTTCGTCTTTGCCTGTGAGGGCACCCAAATGGTGGCCCAGTGATTGATCGCAAAGCTGAATTGGCACCCTGGTCCACGAGCTGGGACAACTAAGCTTAGTTCCAAGGCAACGGCCGAACAGGCATGTAATGACCATTATACACGGGTACCCAGAACCGAC